AAAAAAAAAAAAAAAAAAAAAAAAAAAAAAAAAATTTGAGGACATCCAAATGTCTAAATACTTTTTTACTTGTGTCAGAAAAAACATAATTGTATTTTTCAAACTCCTTTACTGTCAGAAGTTCTCGGCACTCTTTGTGAGATAGCAATCAATTGCATTAGGCATTAGGAGGTTCTTCATTTCTGAATGCAAAGGAATTGTGAGTAATATAGGCAGTAATTGGTACAGCTGGCCCTTGGTCTCATTTGAGATCTACTGATTTTTCTGAACTAAACTGAGTACTCACACACAAAAAGGGAGCTGGAAGGAGGCTTTCAGAGTTTCCTCAGAGTTTGAGGGGCTCACCTTATCTCTCCCCTTCTCCTTCAGTTTGTCCATGGATCTTTTCAGACCCTCCTCCAGAAGGTCCATTAGACGAACCGTGTCTCCTGAACGAGTCTTAAACTTTTTTCTGGGAAGGAGATTATTCATTACAATATTTTCATTACAGCTAAAACTAGTGGTACATGGGGCACTAGGCCTGCAACTAAAAAATTAATTTGATGAACCAATTAATCTGTTGATTTTTTTCTTTGATTACTCAAATATTAATATTCTATCAGATATCTTGCCCAGCGTTCTCCTTCAAAGGATGTGCAAATTAAAGTCTAACACTAATTAATTGATACTTTTAGTCATCAAGGACACACTGAATTGATCAAAAGTGACAGTAAAAACACTTATAATGTTACAAAAGATTTATATTTTAAATAAATGTTCAGTTCTATTCATTAAGAACCCTGAAAAAAAAAAATCCAAATCATTTCCACAAAAATCTGCACAGCACATCTATTTTCAACACTGAGCATGTTTATATTAGGGTTGTGACGGTGAGGACATTTTCCCACCGGTTAATCGACGTGTGACAACACCGGTAATACCGGTATCACCCTGGGGGCGTTCCCTCTTTTCCTTGCTTTCCTTCGCTTTTAAATAGCTTGTAAAAGCGACGTGCGCATTTTACTTTAACTTTGAAATACTTTTCCTTGCTTCCCTTCGCTTTTAAATAGCTTGTAAAAGCGACGTGCGCATTTTACTTTAACTTTGAAATAGCGGCAATTCGGCGTAAAGCAATTGTTCGTTTGAATTTTCCCTCTTTTCCTCGCTTTCCTTCGCTTTTAAATATCTTAAAAGCGGCGTGCGCATTTTACTTTCACTTTGAAATAGCAGCAATTCGGTGTAAAGCAATTGTTCGTTTTTAGTTCATTTGAATTTTCCTTCTTTTCTGTCGCTTTTAAATAGCTTAAAAGCGCCGTGCGCGTTTTACTTTCACTTTGAAATAGTGGCAATTCGGTGTAAAGCAATTGTTCGTTTTTAGTTCGTTTGAATTTTCCCTCTTTCATCGCTTTCCGTCGCTTTTAAATAGCTTGAAAGCGCCGTGTGCATTTTACTTTCACTTTTGAATTAGCGGCAGTTAGGCGTCAATTGCTTGAAGGCAACAACAAAATACAACGTCAAACTCACTTTAGCGTATATATAAAACATAGAACTTTTTTATTAGCAAAACAAATACAAATACACCATGCTATAGGGCAGGCTATGCCTAATATAAAATAACCAAAAACTTACATAAAGTTTAAATAGGTATACAAAACTGGAAATAGGCTAAGTACACATGTATAAAATATAACCAAATAAATAAGAAACGTAGAACGTTTATTAGCAAAACGAGTAAGAAAGCTTGGAGCCACGGCATACACCTTGATGTCAAATAAAATAAATAAATGACACAAAGTTTAAATAAAGTAATCGGCACGCTGCATTGAGCAGCCGCGTTCAGTTTTTAATTGTAACTGTAATTGTAATTGTCTGTTCTTTTACTGTACTAAAAGATTTTTATTTCTATAAAAAAATCAAAATGACGGTGGGGGTCAGTGGTAGGTGGTAGGCAAGTGACGTAACCGGTGTTGCGGCTTAACACCGACCGGTATCACCGTCAACACCGTCTATCGCGGCAAGCCTAGTTTATATGCACACCAGTAAGCTGATAACTCACAAATATCAGCTTATAATTAATTTAATAATAATAATTTATGCATTTAGCAGACACTTTTATCCAAAGCGACTTACAGTGCATTCAGGCTATACATTTTTTACCAGTATGCGCAACGCTGAACTCATACATAATCCGCCCAGAGCTGCTTCCATGTACAACTGTTGGCGCAAGCTACATTAAAGTGATTATAACGTTTTGAATATGGATATTTTTCTTACAAAAACGCATCGATTCGCTACAGGAGGCCTTTGTTCACCCCCCCGGAGCCGTGTGAGACACTTTTTTTATGGATGGGCGCTTTTTATTTAACTTCTTTTGGACTGATGCATGCAACACCCGCTGAGTGGCATTAACAGCTTGAAAGATCAAAGACAATTTTTAATATAACTCCGACCGGATTCGTCTGAAAGAAGAAAGTCATATACACCTAGGATGACTTGAGGGTGAGTAATTTATGGGCTAATTTGAATTTTTGGGTGAACTAACCCTTTAAATCTGCACTAAGGATGCGTTCCGGTCACGTATCACACATGCGCACTTCAATAAGCTGACAGAAAGCAGGTTAATGCGTTTACATGCAGCGAAAAATCAGAGTAAGAGGTAAAAAATTACCTGTGTCGACCAGTTTATGCTTAAGCTGTTTATGACCTTACTCCGATAAAAGAAAAGAGGTTACCGCGTTTACATGAACATGTGTGTTGTCGGCATATTAAACATAATCGGCTTAAGAACGTGCATGTAAACGCACTCATTGATAATAAGAAATGTTTCTGAGCACCAATTATATTAGAATGAAGGATGACGTGACACTGAAGACTGGAGTGATGGTGGCAAAAAAAAATCAGCTTTACCATCAGAAGAATAAATTACATTTTAAAATATATTAACAGAAAATTATAAAAAAGTTGTAATAATATTTCACAGAGTTAAATTGCATTACATTTAGGAGTAGCTTATCAGTGGTGACTACGTCAAGGTGATGTCCATATGGCAAAAATAAAAAAATAAATAAAATCATGGTCACCTCGACCAATCAAAATTTGCTGATTATTTTTATTATTAATTTTATTGATTACTAGCTGTTACAGCCCTATGAGTCACCCTGGTGGAAAGATGATAAAGGTGACTTACATACTGATCAATGTACTTACTTGTCCTCCCCGAGCACCACACCAAAACCTGCATGTTCTACCCGTGTGACCTTGGGGTCATACCAGCCTATCAGCTGAGCAGCTGCAAAGACCACTTGGAAGTGCACTGCCTGTCATACGTCGCAGAAAATGGCAAGAAAAAAAACAC